CACCTCTCGCTCTCGCCCTCGCACCACCGACGACCTCAGCTTGCTTGTTTTCTTTCACCTCTTTTGCCTCGCACAACCACCGCTCAACTCGCCTGGGCAGCTCCAACAGCGGCATCGTACGTCATCCAGGAGCACCACCACCTCTCACGACTTGATCGTGTGCCGACCAGCTCCGTTTTGACAAGTCGGCATAACCTACGGTAGCGACGACGCTCTTCTCGCCTTTACCCCCCGCGTCTCGCCCTCCCCCGACACTTTCAACAACAAACCGTCTCCTCACCAAGTCCCCCATTCCCCCGCCTTTCCCATCCCACACCCTCCCTGCCTGCTCGGACCCTCAGGCCTCTCTGCGACCACCCTCATTTCATCTCACTTCACACATCGCTTCTCACCCACCCAAGGTCGACTCCACGTGTACCTCCACTCCCGCGGGTACATGCGTTTTTGTCTTTGCGCCGCCACCCACAGCACACTCGTCTACCCAACTACCGCCGACATCAACCACACTGCAATCATCGCATCCTCGTCTCTTGTCCTACCCCGTCCGCCGTTGGACCTGATCCTCAACCCTCGCTCGCGTCTCCAACTCGTTTACTTGGGACCCCTCCTGCGCCCGCGTCCTCGACCCTACTGACACACTATTCCGCACCCGCAACAACAACCCCAAGGCACCGAACGGCCTGTCACGTTCCGAGCCCAATCAACCAACTTCCTCCGTTGCCAACCCGTACGCATGGCCCCAGGGGACGGCTGAAGCACTTGACTATCGACGACCAGTGAACGAGCCGCTGCTCTTGCAAGACTCGCCCTACCAGCCGGTCAGGTCATTGACCAGGGCGAGGCAGGAAACGTCCATAGCCTTGCTGTCGACAACGCCGAGGAAGCTATTTCCATCCTATCGACCAACGACCCCAAAGTCTCCCATCCCCTCGATCTCCTCCGCGCCGCACCCCGCAGCCTGTGCAGTGGTTCCGCTGTTCGCTCCGCGGCCCAATTCACTCCCCTTCCACCGCATCCTCCACCACCTCTCCTCGCCTTCCTACCATATCCCCTCTTCTCCTCCCTGGCCCCCCACTTCAGTGTGCACCGTGACCCGAGCTCCCAGCGTCCCAGCCGTCCCTTGTGCCCTGATTTTGCTCCAGGATGATGCCCATTCACCAGTCCATCGAGGGCCAGCCTTCTCACATGGGCCCTGGACTAAGCCCTCCTGCCGCCACTGCCGGCGAGAATGGTGAGCGCCAGCAGAAACCCAAGACCCTGCCCTGCAAGTACTGCAGCAAGCGTTTTAGGTGAGTTGCTCCTGTCCATCCTAATTCCCAAATGTTTCTATGTTTCTGTAGCTGACATGCCTTTTTTTCATCCAGGCGTGTGGAGCATGTTCAAAGGCACGAGCGCACTCACACCAAGGAGAAACCCTTCTCCTGCGGTTGGGCTCGTTGCGGGAAGACATTCGGACGCCGGTGAGTTATGCTTTTGTAGCCCACCTTTCCATAGATGGCCAATCCTCGCCTCCCTCCTCCTCCCCCCTCACCACTCCTCGTACCTCTGCATTGTCGCGCGCCCACTCGCTCAACTTCCTCCCCCTTCCTCATGTTCTCTCATATCTTGATCTATCTGCGGTGCTCTCGTCTGCCCTTACTTTGTCAATCCCAACCAGCTAGCCCTGTAAGACAAAAGCTTACATGGACATCAGTGATCTCCTGGTCCGCCACGAAAAGCTCGTTCACCTCAATGAAGGAAATAGCGGCCCAAAAGAATACCGGCCGAGGAAATCTTCAGGTGCCGGTGGGCATCAGGCTTCCTCGTCCGAAAGTCACGCCGAAACCGAAGTGCTGAACATTCAGCGCACACCAGTGCAATCACATCTG